ACACCGGGGCGTGGTCACTCGGGAGGTCGGCTTTACAGATATTCCAGGAGGTCCCAGAGGTCGGTTTCAAATCCAAGAGATCCCCAGTGAACATATTGGTATAAATACGGTCGATCCTGGATACACTGACCACATTCCCATTCCGAGTGGCGTGGTGGGACGGATTCTCTTGATAGCATTCCATAACGTTAGGCAATAGCGACCAGAACTTGTGGGCGAGGGAGTCGGGGCTGTTGATCTGCACAGAGCCATCTACTCGCTGGGTACCCTCGCCCAGCTCGCAAAAGTTGAAGTCTCCAACAAAGAAGAAGGCCCTGGACAGCGTGCACAAAATCGGCGCACATGCGAAGAATCCGCATTTTCTCTCTGTGGCGGCAGCTCGGGTCGAGATGGAGGTTCAAGATGGTAAGCGAGAAAGAGTCGGACTGGATGGTGACGGCATGGAGACGCCCAGAAAGAATCACATCATGTTGATGTTGAGGAAGCAGAGCGAGAAGAGAGCGAGCGATCATGATCGCGTTCCCGCCAGCATGACTGTCGGGGCAAAACGTACAGAAAGATTCATAGCCAGGGAACTCGGTACGCAACGACTCGCGATCCCCTTCATGGCCGTGCGTTTCTTGTAAGCAAATGATATTGTTTGCTCTAGCTATAGTTAGTCAGTCGATCGAAGGTCTTGACCTGAGTGTCGTGGTCCCCAGAGACCGCGCCGAACAGGGTATGACAGTTCCATGTAGCAATCCGAATACCTCGACCGTTGGCCAGGGACGGCGGAAAAGAGAGGCGAGAACTGGCTGGGTTCTCAAGCGAAGGTGGCTGGGCCCCGGATTCAGCATTCGACAGAGAAGGCGAACAAAGCGCAGAAGATTCGGGCGATAGAGGCAGCGAGGAAGCGGGAAAAGACAGAACATTTGCACACGATACTAGGCTGGCATCACTTCAGCACTGCTGGACGGAGGCCTGGGCCTGCTCAACCATCCACTTGGCGGTCGACTCGGCGATGCTCCACTCGGAGAGCTGGTCGCTGATCGGCTTGAGCTCGTACATGCCTCCAGGAGCGTCGGGCAGCTTGAAGAACTCCCAGTGGTCATTCTCGGTGGTGATACTGAATGCGCCTTTGAACGGGTTGGTGCCGATCTTGATGGACGGGCTCCACTTGCCTGCATTCTCGAGGTGCTTGCGGACGAGCGGCCAGAGGGCGCTAAGGACGCGGTTCTTCTGGCGGGCCTGCAGCGGCATATCCCTACGGCAGCGCAGTGGGTGAAGGGAGGCGTTGCGATAGTCCTGCCACGTCACGGGATTCGCGAGGAACCAGTCGTGGAAGTCACGTGCCTTCTGCTCGGAGTTGAAGGTGGCTGCGAACGCTTGTGATACTTTGTGGAAATGCCCTGCCATCCCTTCGCTGCTGGCGGCAGGAAGTCGGCTTTTCATATGATTGAAGACTGTGCGCCTATATGGCTCGGTGACTGGGCGAGGAAACCCGCTGATCCACCGTCTGGTCGGGTCGATCTGGTTGTGCTCGTCGTTGGCGAGATCGATCACGGGAATCACGGAAGCGCTGGAGCCAGCGCTGGGGCCTCCCCCTAAGCGGCGAGACTTGGATGGCGGCCGAGTTGAAGCGGAGCCTGCATCGGACGGAGCTCGTTGGAGTTCGGCAAGAGACGCTTCGATTCTGGCCATCTTCTCATTCATCTGACGTTGAATCTCGAGCCCAACGTTCTTGGCGGTGGGGTTGCCGTCCTCGGTGCCAAAGAAGGCGGCGTTGGTGGCGGCTTCTTGATGGACATGCTCGGGTCGAGAAACTCGTAGATCCATGTCGAGAACGAGGGCTTGGTGAGCATTCTTAGCCCCCTCAAACTTGCCCTCCATGGCGAGCTCGAGATCGGAAATATTATCCTCGAGGCCTTCCGCTACGGCGAGACGCTCTTTGACATCTTTGATGTCGTCCATCATGGCGTTCATGCCGCCGTTCATTCCTGCAAGAACCTGAAGCAACTGAGCGTTAGATACCTCGGCAGCGGCCATTGCACTGCCAGGAAGCGAGACAAGAACTGGAGCGAGAATCTGGGCGGCAAAATGCCTTAGTGCACGAAAAGGGGCAACCCCCGACCCTTGTGTCGCGGGCCGAGTCGGGAGCAGCCCTGCTCTGACCAGGCCAACTGCCTTGAGCCAAAAAGGCTTGAGCCAAAATGGCTACGGAAGGAGGGGGAGGAGGAGGAGGAGGAGGAATAGCAGGAGGAGGAGGAGGAGGAAGAGGAGGAGGGGAGCAGGAGGAGGAGGAGGGGGAGGAGGAAGAGGAGGAGGAGGAGGAGGGGGAGGAGGAGGGAGGAGGAGGAGGAGGAGCAGGAGGAGGGGGGAAAGAGGGGGAGGAGGAGGAGGAGGAGGAGGAGAGGAGGAAGAGGAGGAGGAATAGCAGGAGGAGGAGGAGGAGGAGGAGGAAGAGGAGAAGGGGGAGCAGGAGGAGGAGGAGGAGGAAGAGGAGGAGGGGAGGAGGAGGAGGAGGAGGAGGGGGAGGAGGAGGAGAGGGGGAGGAGGAGGAGAAGGAGGAGGAGGAGGAGGAGGAGGAGGAGGAGGAGGGGCGGGGGCGGGCGGCGGCGGTAGCGCGGTCTGCCGCCCGGGGGCGCCGACGACGAGGCGGCGGCCCCAAAAGGGCGGCGCGAGCGGAGGCGCGCGAGGAGGCGCCGGGAGCCGCGAGCGCGGAGGCTCCTCGGAGGCCGCCGGCGCGAGCCCCTCCTGAGGCGCGCGGGGCGCGGGAGGCGGGCACGGCAAGAGCGCGCCTGAAGGAGGAGGGGGAGGAGGAGGAGGGGGAGGAGGAGGAAGAGGGAGGAGGGACGAGGGAGGAGGCGAGGAGTTGCCCAGATCCACTGCCTGGAGGACGAAGTCCTGGAACCCTACTGGGGGCGGTGGGCAGTGACACAGCTGGGCCCCAGGGGGCCGCCGCCTGGCGAGGTCCGCGAAGATCCATCCTCTGGGCGGTGATTACGAGTGAATCTCCGCCTCGGAAGAGCAGCGGCAGCAGTAGAACCTGAGCAGGTCGCTAAAGTGCTCGAGGTTGCTTGAGTCGGCCCGGGGACGAAGACTCCTGGTCGGTCCAGGAGGCGACGCGGCACGAGGGAGAGCTTCCGCGGCCAGCCCTGACACGGAGAGAGAAACGGGCCAGGGTCAGAGGAGGAGAGGCGAGAGAGGGGACGGCAAGGGAAGAGAAGGAACGGACGGGAGGATGGAGCAGGGAAGGGGATGGAGCGAGGATTGGGAGAGATGGGGGGGAGGAGGAGGGGGAGGAGGAGGAGGAGGAGGAGGAGGAGGAGGAGGAGGAGGAGGAGGAGGAGGAGGAGGACGAGGACGAGGACGAGGAGGAGGAGGAGGAAGAGGAGGAGGGGGAGGAGGAGGACGGGAGGAGGAGGAGGAGGAGAGGAGGAGGAGGAGGAGGAAAAGGAGGTAGCACGCTCAAGGCTGCCGACTCTAGTTGGTCTAACGTCAAAAAGGGATGAGCAGGAGGAGGAGGAGGAGGAGGAGGGAGGAGGGGGAGGAGGAGAACGAGGGGGAGGAGGAGGAGGACGAGGAGGAGGAGGAAGGAGAAGGAGGAGGAGAAGGACGAGGAGGAGGAGGAGGTTGCACGCTCAAGGCTGCCGCCTCTAGTTGGTCGAACGTGGAACAGGGATGAGCAGGGAGGGGGAGGAGGAGACGAGGAGGAGGAGGACGAGGAGGAGGAGGAGGAGGAGGAAGAAGGCGGAGGAGGAGGAGGAGGACGGAAGAGGAGAGGGACGAGGAAGAGGAAGAGGAGGAGGAGGAGGACGAGGAGGAGGAGGACGAGCAGGAGGAGGAGGAGGAGGAGAAGGAGAAGGAGGAGGAGGAGGAGGAGGAGGACGACGAGGAGGAGGAGGAGGAGGAGGAGGGGAGGAGGAGGACGAGGGGGAGGAGGAGGACGACGAGGAAGAGGAGGAAGGAGAAGGAGGAGAAGAAGGACGAGGAGGAGGAGGAGGAGGAGGAGGTTGCACGCTCAAGGCTGCCGCCTCTAGTTGGTCGAACGTGGAAAAGGGATGAGCAGGAGGAGGGGGAGGAGGAGGACGAAGAGGAGGAGGACGAGGAGGAGGAGGAGGAGGAGGAGGAAGGAGGAGGAGGCGGCGGAGGAGGAGGAGGAGAGGGACGAGGAAGAGGAAGAGGAAGAGGAGGAGGAGGAGGAGGAGGAGGAGGAGGAGGAGACGAGAACGGTCCGATGGCACATCCCTGATGGAGAGGGGCGGGGCACTGTCCGTGAGCGCTCGCGCGCCTCGTCGCTGCGTAGAGGTTAGCAATGCTGCCGTGCCGCCCGGATTGGGATCAAACGGGAGACAAAACGTGTCTCGTCCAATCCAGGTGCTCCGTACGCGCGAGTGTTGCACGTTTCTATGGGTAGCCTGGATCGGGGAGACGTGAGATTCAGGTTCGGAGGACTCGGGTTGGCCTGATAGGGGGCCATCATGAGAATGACGATGGCCCAATATGAAAATTGACGCGAGCTCCCGCTCCAAACATCCCGCGAGAACTCAACTGTCAAGATCTGGGACGCGCTCGTCAAAAAGCGTCGTCAAAGCCGTCTTTGGGCGCACTCGAGTCTTAAGTTTCCCCGACTAGAAGATTATGGCCAGAATTCGCCTGTGCACTCGAAACGCCACTCTGACCCAGCCGAACAGGTTTGGTCCCACCGTTAGCTTCCACGGCTCCAACTGTCACCCGAGCCTCCCAAGAGCGCCTCCAAGAGGCCCGAATCCTTCAAAACGCTTGAGTTTGTCAATGTTGTTTGTCTTCTCGCCCTTTCGCTTCCGATGGGCTCTTGGAGCCTCAGGATAGCTCCGAAATGGCCCCAAACGGCCCCAATCAGTTTACTCGTCGTAGTCGCTACGTGGAAACTTCACAATCGCCATCATGTGTTCTCTGCCTGGACGTTGCAAGCCCCTGGTATGCTCACAGAGCTATGCACACACAGCTACGACGCTGGCGATAGAAATGTTAGCGCCATTTGTCCTGCACTGCCCCTGCTTTTTGCCCCCTGGCTTGAACATGCGCCTCCACCGGGCTGCACTGCTCTGGCCGATGGGTCGAGCAACCACGCAGTCAGCGCGATGTGACTCCCGGCCGGAGCCGAGGCTAGATCTGCGAGGCGGGGATCTAGCCCGGTGGAACCGACGACCTGGGACCCCAGCGGGCGGTGGACATGGACACACTTGGCCTCCCCCGGGCCCGAATACGTCCATATCCCCTGCTAGCCGCCGCCCCCGAAAGATCCACCTCCCGGGCGGTGGCTGTAGATATTGAGCAGGGACCGACCGTCCCGGCATTCGTATAGTCCTACCACGAAATGTTCTTAGAACCCAAGAATGTTCTAAGAACGAAAACCAAGTTTTCAAGTTCTTAAACCATAAACCCGGTGATAAAACAGGACAGACTCCGCCAGAAATGTTCTGAGAACATTTCGTGGAGACCACAAAAGGTTCTTAGAACAGTGTTTGGTAGGGCCATAGGCGAGCCAGGACGCTTCGCCACTGCTTGAAGATAGATCCCTGCCTCGGAACCTCGACGCTGCTGCGGATCGATTTCAGTCGGGCGTGTCCCCCTCCACGGGGATTCTGGACGAAATATAAAACATATTCTAAATAGATTCGGAAGATGCCAAAACATACCCCAAAAAATAGTCCCCAGACTAGTTGGTGACTGCTTTTGAATATCGGCGGTGGACAAACCTCCCTTTAGCAAACCTCCCCTTAGTGAAAACGGCCTGGGACCGAAACCGGCGGACCTGGACCCGCAAAGATGACGGCCGCGACGCCCCCTCGCGAACCGAAAACGGCCAATTCCTGAATCGACGTGTCAGGGTAGGAGGTCCATCCACCTCCGAGAAGATTCCCCAACTACACAGGGGATCCTGGACGAAACGGGCGTGTCCCCCTACACGGGGGATTCTGGGCGAAACATAAACATGTCCAAAACAGACTCCGAAGATACCCACAAAAAAACTCAAAAAAACAGTCCCCCGACGATTTCGCGACTGCTTCTGAATTTTCTCCCCCGCAGAGGACCGCGCCCGACTCCGCGCCCGACTTTTGGAGGTAGGAAAAGGGTATGGTGTAAAGGGGTGTGGTGCTAATTTTAGGTAAAGGGGACTCTGGCGATGTTATTTGTCGCAGATAGCATCGCCATTTCCACGATTGGCACACCCCTTTCCGACCTCCAGACGACTGCGGCCGAGCGCCCTCAGAGCCGGGCGCCGCCCGGGCTGCGGCCGCGCCCCGCGCCGCAGACCAGCCGCCCCCTCGCCACGGGCCCCGGCCTCGGCGCCGCCCGCTCCACCTTTGGGAGGCAGCCGCTCTGGGAGGTCCCTCGGCGGGCAGGCCCCACAGAGGGCGCCCCTGGCCGGAGCTGCGGCCAGGGAGCTGTCCGATGTCTGGGGCCGCTCGGGCCGCTGCGCGCTCGCAGCTGTGCGATGGTCTCGGGTGCGAGGCTTTCGAGTGTCTTTGTGGGCTCTCGGCGGTTCTCCAGCTCCGGAATGCTCTCCAGCAGCTGCCCCTCGCGGAGATCTTTCTGGGATTAAGGAGAATTCATCTCCATCCGGGAGCTCTGACCACGGAGTGGGCCTCGGATTAAGCGGGAGTAAGCCGGAATAGGCGGGATGAAGCAGGATGGAGCGGGATTAAGCCAGACTAGGCCGGATTTAAACTGGATTAGGCGGGATTCAGCGGAATTAAGCGGGATGAAGCCGGACTAGGCCGGACTTCGGACCAGTGCAAAATCAGAATGTGACCTCCCAAGAGTTGCATCCCAATCCACCCAGGCGTCCAGCGCGCCCGGCACGCCCGGCGCCGGGGAAGTGATGGGACCACTTCCCACCACCACTACCAGATGTAGGAGAGGGACGAGGAGGAGGAGGAGGAGGAGGAAGAGGAGGAGGAGGGGGACCTCCTCATCCTCCCTTCCCCTCCGCCCCACACATGGATGTAGGAGAGGGACGACGAGGAGGAGGAGGAGGAGGAGGAGGACGAGGAGGAGGAGGAGGAGGAGGAGGAGCTCCTCGTCCTCCCTTCTCCTCCGCCTCACGCATGGCAGCGGTGGTGGAAAGTGTGCCCATCAGGAGAGCCTCACCGAGAGCCGGTCGAGGGCCCGGACCTCGGCCTCGTCACCAGCCTGGAACAGATCCTCATCCCTATGTCGGGCATCGCCTCATCTCGATGGCGATCTTTGAGGGATCCCCTCAGTTTCTGAGGGTGCACCCCTGAGATTGTCATCGCCTTGTGGCGTGTCGACCTTGGGGAGAGGGATAAGTTCGAGGCTGGTGAGCCTCGTAGGTGATGGCGAGGGCCCCGAGGCGCTGCCCCGCCGCCGCGCGAAGCTCGGCGCCGGCCGCGGGGTCGGCCGCGGCGGCCGCCTTCGCGTCCTCCAGGAAGCGGGCCTGGGCGGTGTGGTTCGCGTGCCTCGGGAGGGCGCCAACTGCCCTGGGATCGGACTGGGGGCACCAAGAGGTACTGGACCTCTCCCGGGGTGCGCTCTGACCAGGAATTCGGAGCGAATCCAGCGGTGGCGACGAGGGCCTCCCGGGAGGCCGAAAAAGGGGACATTGGGCGAGGAGTAGCGGTAGGGGTACCTTTGCCTCTTCTGACCGACTCTGCGACAAAATTGCAGCATCGCGAAGGATCACGACAGGGGCCCCCAGACCCGATCTTTCCGCGTCACTTTCAAGCCCGATCGACCTGCGAGGGCCCCGGAGCCCGAAATCGGGCGAAGACGCCAGGTGAGAAGAAATCGCAGCGCCAGGATCTCAGGGTTCGACGACGAGCCCAAAGGGGTGTAGGCAGAGGGGGCGGGCCTTCTCAGAAGGCTCCGAAGGCCTACCACGGCCCCCTGAGAAACGGCCCAGGCATTCTCCGAAGACTCGAGCGGCTTCAGAGAAGGCCTGGTGGCTGCTGAGAAGGCCCGCCGCCTTCTGAGAAGGCTTGCCGCCTCCCTCTTCTGCCCCAGGCTCACCGCCGACAGCTGTACACCTACACACACCGTTAGATCGGGCATGTCCTCCGAGAGGCGGACTTTGAAAACAAACATTCAGAATAATCAGAAGAATATTCCAAACAAATGTCACGAATATAATCCAGAAGTCGCCCCCCGGCCTTTTTGGGGGGACTATGTTTGAACATTTTGAGCAGGGACCGACCGTCGCATTCCTATAGCCCACCACGAAATGTTCTCAGAACCCCAAAATGCTCTAAGAACAACAATTGTGCTTAGAACATACAACCGATGTATTAAAACAAGACAGACTCCGCCAGAAATGTTCTCAGAACGTTTCGTGGAAACCGCAAAAAGCTCTTAGAACATGGTTCGAAGGCCATAAGCACGCCATGACGCTTCGCCACTGTTCGACCAGTCCTCCCGTAGAGGGGCATGCCCGACTGAAACCCACTTCGGGGATCTTCTGACCCGGATCAATCCAGACCTGGGTCAGCAGGAAACCAAAAACTGCAGTGCAGGAAAAACAAAAAACTGCAACGCAGGTCTTCGCAAACCCAGGTCAGCCAATGTGCGCGGCCGCCTCGCGGCCACGAGCGGCTCGCTAACCCGGGTCAGCCAGAGGGGGTCTTCGCAGGATCCTGCAGGATACGGTGCCATGGCTGACCCCTGTTTGCATTGACCCCCGATTCTTGAACCCCGAAAAAACTGTCGATCTACAGTTCCGGGAAGATGTAGACACCTCTTCCTCCCCAGGGGTCGGTGTTCTAAGACGGCAGCGATGTGATGGTCTAGCCGCAACCGAACGCCTGATACGCATGATGGGCATAGCCCACACAGATCCCCGTTTGCACTGACCCCCGTCTCTTGAGCCCCGACTACCCTTATGTCGGGCGTGTCCCCCTACAGGGGGATGTTCGACGAAAAATTAAAAATACCCCCAGAAATGCTCCAAAAAGGTCAAACAATACTCCCAAAACAATCTCCAGACTATTTTTGGACTACTGTTTGACTACTTGTGGGGTATTGTTTCTATTTCTCGTCGAAACTCCCCCTGGAGAGGGACAGGCCGACCTAAGATCGGGAGCGGCCAAGAGGGGGGTGCCCAAGAGAGGAGGGGGTGCAAATCATGACCGGCGGCATGTGCGCGGCCCAGCGAGGGGGGCCAGGGACGTCATGAAGCAAGAGGAGGCGCCATGGAATCCGCGGAAATATCCTGGCCCCCGCCACGATATCCACCCCCCCCCTAGTCGTCACCCCCCTCTTTTCCGCCCCCGATAAGACCACCCCGGCCAGGGCCGCGCCCGGGCCCGGGCTCGGCGCGCGCGCCGCCCCCCTCCTCGGGGTGCTCGCGCGGGGGGCGGGCAGACCGCCCGCACCGAGGTCCCGGGCCCGGCCAGGAGCGGCCCGGCCACGCCGGGCGTGGGCGTGCAGGTTTGGGTCGGGCATGCCCTGCTGCAGGCCGATGTTAGTCGAAAAATGTACGCAACCCCAAAAAATACTCCCAGAATGCCCAAACATGCTGAGAAAATAGTCCCCAGACTAGTGTTGGATTGTTTGGCATGCCCTCCTGCAGGCCGATGTTAGACAACAACTATATTTAACCCCCCCAAAAAAACTCCCAGAATGCCCAAAAATGCTGAGAAAATAGTCCCCAGACTATTTGTCGGTTTGTTTTTTGCATAAGATTCCCCCTGTAGAGGGACAGGCCCGACTTGAGCGTAGGCTTGGGTCGGGCATGCCCTCCTGCAGGTGGATTCCTGAACGGGAAAAACTGAAGTTGTCAACAAGTGCCCTGACATAGTCGAACAACTGTACACACAACCGCCCCCAGCCTAGTTATGTGCTTGGACTCTTCTCGGGTATCTCCCTCCTGTAGGCAGAGGGACATGCCCGGACTTAAGGATGAGTGGAGCCTGTTCACGTCCTCGTCGGAGTAGCGCACGAGCACGTCCACCGAGTACGCGCCCGGGGGCGCGCGCCTCGGGAGCGAGGCCACCGTGCTGCGGAGGAAGGAGCCGTCCTCGCCCGGCCCAGCGGCCGAGAGCGCCCGGACGTCGTCTGGGACGGGCGACGGCCTGAAAGCTCCGGGCGCCCCGGCGACGACGATCATCACCGTGCTGCCTGTGGCGAATCCCGCCGGCCCCCTGGGCGTATCAGGCTTGGGCAGGTTGCGTTCGCACCCCCCCTCTTCAGTTTCACCGGGGGGGGCCCTCTCACTGCCCCCCGCCCATCACCCGAGGTCCGGACCAGGGATCCGCGAGGGCTTAGGGAGGCCCATGACGGCCGAAGGTGGCTTCAAGATGGACATGGCATCTGATAGCCCAGAATTCCCTCTAAGATCTAAGGTGGCACAAGATAGCTCAAGACAACCTCCAAAATGGCCTCCCTAAAAATGTCTCTAAAAGGCCGCAAAACCGCCACCCGACAGCTCTGGGTGGCCATGGAGCCTCCCGCGAAAAAAGTAGCCCGGCGAAAGACCCAAACGTATGCAGCTGTGAGTGCCGCAGTTAAGGCGCCTCTAAGGTATATCACTTCAAGAATCCTTCCACCCCCCCCTCCAAAGGTCCGAGAGAGCCGCAAGAGACTCCCAGAGAGCTCTGGGCTCACACGCGTTGCCCCCTAATTCCCAATATGCTTATCTTACTCGCCCATTCGGGCAACTCGCCCGGGCTTCGTTCGTCTCTGGACGGGCTGGCGGGGGCGCGCGAAGCGTCAAGGATTTCTCGCCGCCCAGCAGCATCTCGTACCTGAACTCGACGGTTGTCCGGCCGACGTCCCCGACCTCCACCCTGGTCACCGCCTCCTTGCCGGCCACCGACACTGCATTGGGCGAGGAGAGCCGGATCGCCTGGGATGCCACGAGCATCCGCCGCATCATGCGGGGCTCCACCTCACTAAAGGCGCTGTAGCCGGCCTGCATCCAGGGCAGCCTCATGCGCGCGGCCTGCATCCACCTGAAGAGGGTGGCGTACGCCAGGCCGAGGTCCCTGTCGAGGTCCTCCTGGTTCAGCACCTGGACCCCGTACTCGTTCGCCCGCGACGTGATGTCGAAGTCGTAGTGCGTGCCTGAGGGACCACGGTAGGCCATCGCGAGCAGCAAGGCCCGCGGGTAGGAAAGCAGCAAGGGAGGAGGAAAGAGAGGAGGTGGAGGAGGAGGAGCAGGAGGAGGGGGCAGTTAGAGGAGGGAGGAGAGGGAGAGGAGGAGAGACGATGGGGGGCAGCATGAAGGGGAACGGAAAGGATAGGTGGAGCAATAGAAGGAGGAAAAAGAAGTGCAGGTAAGAAAAGAACTAAGCCCCGTTGGTCCCTCTTGGAAAGCCTCTCCGTTGAACCCCACAGGACACCCGCCCAAGAACCGTCCGTATGCTCCCCGCTCCTCCTCCGACCTCCAAATAACATTCCTCTGTCCTCCTCCCTCATCCCTAGACCCCCCTTCTCATTCATCCTACCCCTCCTTGTCCTCATCCTCCGCCTTCCTCTTTCTCTCCTCCATTCTACTGTTACTCCCTCTCGGAGAAGACCAGGGCCGAAGAGTCTTGCGCAATATTCCGGTGGTGGATGTTGCTTCGAATCGATTCCGACCCAAAACCGATTCCGATTCCCTCTGTCCACCTCCCGTTTCATGATCGCCCCCCCCCCCCCTGAGGAAGAGGAGGCGGGGAAACGGGCCGCGGCAAGCCTGCGGCCACTTCGGACCCAGGGTTCGAGCCAGAATGGATACGCGAGCTTCTCTTTATCCTTGCCCCCTCCTCCTCCTCCTCCTCCTCCTCCTCCTCCCCCTCCTCCTCCCTGCTTTGGAGCCATCGTCCAGCAGATAATGTGGAGGAGGGGGGGAGACAGGAGAGCGGTGGGGGTAGGAGTTTCTCGGCGAGGAGGAGGAAGGAGGGAGAAGGAGAGAGGACAAAAAAGAAGGGGGAGCACAACAGTAAATCCAATATGCCCGAACGATGCTGCAATACCCCCTTGAGGTCCCAGTCCGCTCCCCATAAGCGCGCTCTCGTAAGACCAGCACTCTACGAGCTGGCCATTCGGGCGGGAGCCCCGTTTTGAGCAGGAGCTGCACGGAGTCCTTCTGGCGATTGAGACGGAACGGGCAAGGGTATGATCGTACAGCTCACCAGGGTGTGCAACCAAATCACCAGCTTGAAAAGGTTCGCCCTCATCTGTGCAATTCTTGCACAATGTTTGAACAAAAGGAAAAACGGCAAACATAAAGTTCGGCGCTCCGCGCGGATTTCTTGAATCCGCGCTGGACCCCCTCCCTGGCGCGCGGAGCGCGCCAGGGGCGTCGCCGGATGCGCCGCTATAGGGCCCAGGCGCGGATCCAAGAAACCCGCGCGGAGCGCCGAAAGTTTGTGGGCCCAGTATCCAAGAAACCCGCGCGGAGCGCCGAAAGCTGGCGGTTTTCTGCGTCAATGAAAAAGGTTCGCCTGGGTTTCTTCTTCGATGGTTATGGCGTGTTTTCTTGTTCGTCGACGCTCGTGGCCACACTTGCAACATTGTGCAAGTCTTGCGCTCTCGCCTCGTCTCGGCATTAATTCTTTGACCGACGGTCCTTCGGGCCACCCCGGTACTCACGCAGTTGTCCGGGGTTGCGTCCTTGCAGTAATTTCGGCTTCTGGCCCGGGTCGTCGTGTGTCCCGACTTCCTGGTGTTCCCGACGCTCTGCATACTTGCACGCTGGCAGTACGACTCAGTTTCAGCTGCCCCCCCACTCGCTGGTCCGCCGCTGAGCTGCTGCGCGAGGGCCCGGTTAGCCGCTGCAGGTGTGGCCGCCCTCCGTCGCTTCAGTTTAGTTCGTCGCTGCGTGCCCCGCTTTGACTGGACTCGCCGCCGTCGCGCTCGCCCGCGGCCGCTGACTAAAAAGTATGGCCACAAGCGTCGAGGAGAAGCGCCGCAAGAGCGAAAGCCCCCCCCGTGGTGCAAGAGATAGGGCCGCCCTCGAACCGCGCGGCCGTGCCATCCGCATGCTCCGGCTTCTCTGGCACGCAGAACTCCAAAGGATGCCCCCCCCAAGCGAAAAAAAAACACGACAACGTTGAAAAGAAGGGACGAGGACGAGGACAGGAGGAAGAGGACGAGGAGGAGGAGACGGAGAAGTAGAAAGAGGACGAGGAGGAGGACGAGGACGAGGAGGTCCTGCATCCGCGCAGCTGTTACATGTGCACACGTGGCTGTCATTGACATTCGGAAACAATGAAAAAAGGGAAGGCCCCGCTTTTAAACCACCCTCCAGCCCCTGTAACTGTTGCAAGAGCTTGGGACGAATGGGCGCGGCGCCAAAACAAGAGTCCCATCTTGAAAACGCTGCAGACTCTTATGACGACCGCTTGCGACACGATGGCGAGAGCGCCATTTTGAAAACGGCCATCCCTCCATATTTGGAAATGCCGCGAACCTCTAAGACAAATGGGCGCAGCGCTAAGGCTACAACTCCATACAACCCTTCCATCCATGAAGCTGTAGCAACTGCCAAACTTCAGCAGCATAAGTGGTGAGAGGAAATATCAGGCTCCCACAGGGAGGCGTTATTCAAAGGCTTGAGATTCACCACGACGTGTACTAACTAGGCCACATGTCATGCAGACTATCTGGCCCACGGGCAGAAGGACGAGGCACCCGAAGGACCTGTACAGCAACGACCCAGCGCACAGAGCCCATCACGACATCCACCGCCAGTGCGCCATGCAACCCACGGCAATAGCAGAAAGTGACGCATCGAACTTGACAATGCATGCTCGAGAAGGAATTGAGCAGGGACCGACCGTCCCGGCTTTCCTTTAGGCCTACCACGAAAGATTCTTAGAATCCCAGAATGTAATAAGAACAAAAACCATGTTCTTATAACATAATGCCGATGTGTTAAAACAAGACAGCCCCAGCCAGACATCTTCTTAGAACAGTTCGCGCAAACCAAAGGTTCTTAGAACACTCCTTGGTGAGCCAAGACGCCTCGCCACTGCCTGAAGGAAGGAGAGGAAGCACAGAGGAGGATGGGCAAGGACACCTTAAGATAGGGGAACAAAAAGTGACACATACATAAAAACTCGGAGGTCCGCGCGGATTTCTCGGATCGGCGCTGGACCCCCCTCCCTGGCGCGCGGAGCGCGCCAGGGGCGGCGCCGGAGGCGCCGCCAGCGTGCCCAGCGCCGATCCGAGAAATCCGCGGGGAACTCCGAGTTTTTACGTTTATGTCACTCCGTGTTCACCGATTAAGAGGCGAAGGTGAAAACGGCCCAGGACCGAAACAGACGGACCTGGACCCGCCAAAGAGTGACGGCCACGACGCCCTCTCGCGAACCGAAAAAACAGCCAAGTCGCCAATCGACGTGTCAGGGCAGGAGGTCTATCATAACCAGCCTCGAACGTATCCCTCTCCCTAAGATGGGCGAGCCAAAAGCGAGGACAATCTTAGGGATAGGCCCTCACAAACTGAGGGAATCCTCAAGATCGGCATCGAGGTGAGGTGATGTCAAACATAGGGATAGGGATACGTTTCAAACTGGTTATATCAGCCTCCGATTAAGAGGCGAAGGTGAGGTCTGCCTCCCGCGGTGCTGCGCCGCTCCCCGCGCGCGGCGGCGCCGGCGCCGGCGCCGGGCCGAGGGCGCGGTTCGGGGGCGGGCGCGCGGGCCCAGCCACCTCGGCCTGGGCGGGGGCAGGGGGAGAGAGAGCGGCGAGGAGGAGGCAGACGCGCTGGCCTAGGAGGCAACGACTGGGAGGTTGTCGTCGGAAAGATTTTATAGAGGATGAAGCCCCCTTTTTGGGGGGGGCTGTTGCGCCGGAGTGGGCCTCGGAAAGAGCAGGATTGAGCCAGATGAAGCGGGATTAAACCAAATTGAACCGGATTGAGCCAGGATTGAGCCAGATTGAGCGGGATTAAGCGGGATTAAGCCGGATTAGACGGGATGAAGCCGGATTAAGCCGGATTGAGCCGGATGTCGGGCCAGGGCAAAATCAGAGTCCTCCCAGGAGTTGCATGCGAAGAGAAGGGGGCAGACGTGCTGGCGTCACGAGAAGACTCCGGCAGGCCGCTGGCCGCTGCCAATCTGCAGGGGCCCTGGCCGGGCCCCCAGGACCGTCAGCTCACCACCAGGGACGAAAAAACAGCCCTGAGAAAGGATCGGGAATAGAGGCCTCTCAGATGGGGTCCGAGTAGATGGGGTCGGAGGATCGCGCCGCATCGCCAATGCATCGGCGATGCATCGCCGACGTCGGCGACGCATCGGCGACGTCGGCGTCGAGAAAATCGAGCTCCACATCGAGCTGCATCGCCGATGCATCAGCGATGCGACGCGATCCTCCGACCCCGTGTGCTCCGAGCCCATCTAGGAGGCCTAGAGGGAAAGGGTCGGGACTTCCGGGGGCCCTGCACCGACAGAAGCAATGCATCGCGTGTCTGGGGGGACCGCGCAGGGCACTGCAGGGCAGGGCATGCAGGGTCGTCTCGCCACGTGGGCGGGCAGGCTGGGGCAGACTGGGGCAGGCTGGGGCAGGCAGAGGGCAGCGCAAAGGGCAGGGCAGGGCAGGGGGTGAGGCAAGCCAGGTGCGCCATGTTAGATACCCCCCTGGGCGACCTGGGCACCTGAAAACAAGCATTCGCCTGAGACATCCTCAGCCAGTTCTGCGAAAACAGCAAGCGTTTCGCCGGAGACATCCGCAACCAACGAAAATGTCAACTTCACAGTGTGGTCCAATCGAACGGTATTTCAAAACGAACTCTTCGCGAGGGACATCCTACGCGAATTGTTATTTATTGCAAAATACATCCGTCGGCCCTTCCCCAAAATGCACCAGGGACAAATTCGGGGATCTTCTGACCCGGGTCAATCCAGACCCGGGTCAGCAGGAAACCAAAAACTGCAACGCAGGAAAAAAAAAAAACTGCAACGCAGGTCCTCGCAAACCCGGGTCAGCCAATACGTGCGGCCGCCTCGCGGCCACGAGCGGCTCCCAAACCCGGGTCAGCCAGAGGGGGTCTTCGCAGGATCCTGCAGGAAACGGCGCCCTGGCTGACCCCCGTCTGCACTGGCCCCCGTCTCGAGGCTCCCGACAAATTCACCAACCAAAGGAGAACCCGGGCCCAGAATGAAAATTGAAAAAACAATGGGCGCTCTAGCGTTTGCGCTGTATTTGGGGACTGCAGAAGGGGGCCGCTGGACTGCTGGGACTGACCTGGGACCGGGCTGGGATCTGGGAATAGCCTTGCAGAGGGTGACAAGGATTATCCGGGCGTGGCCATGCTATCATCAGCGCATGGCCACTCTTTTATGATGCTTCACTTGGAAGCCCTAAAACACTAAGATTCATAAAGCCCTGAAGCCCTCAGACAATAACATGATCGACACACGAACCAAGAAAGGGATTGAGAACTGCGAGGCTTGGAACTGGTTCTAAGCACCTCAATTGCATATGCAACCGGGCGATGCCAGGGGGCATGCCAGGGGGACGCGCCGCGGAACGCCCCAAAGGACGCGCCAGGCGACGTGCCAGGGGACGTGCCATGGGGACGCAACGCGTGACGTGCCAAAGAGAAGCGCTACGGAACGTGCCAATGGACGTGCCACGGGACGTGCCAGAGAACGCGTCAAGGAACGAGCCACGGGACGTGGCACGGGACCGCGCTCCCAGGTAAGCTCCTGTCTCTGCTCCAGAAAACGCGGCTTGCTTCCCCCCCGCCCTACCCCCCAA